TGTTAAGACTCGGTCAACGGCTGCCCCTGCGCCTTCTAATTAACTGAGGAGAGCGGCGCAGGGGTGAGCAAACGAGTCTGATACGAATATGTCGGAGGCACAGACTCACGTAGGACCTGCCGCAAATGAAAATAATATTTTTATTCGAATAATTCTCATGGTGATTTACGAGTAGTAGTAAAAGTACACATAAAAAACTTGTAAGATTTTATGCAAATATTTGAAAAAATACAACTACATTAAAAATATGTATTTTACTAATTTAATAAACCCGAGTTAATGGATAAGACAAAGAATATGACCGTTTGTTTACTGTTCATAAATAAATTTTAAAAATATTTTTCTTTAGTCTTTGGAAGTTATTTTGAGTAGTACTTTTTCTGATTACTGTATCTTTTGGAATTGGTCGCTGAACACAACGAATAAGTTTATAATTTTAATATTTTAATTTAACATTTCTAGTTAAAGAGTATTTGTCCAGGTGATACTTTTTATAAGTTCCAAATATATTTGTCGAATAATATCACGGTAGATTCAATTGCCAAAATTAACTCCAACAAGTGTTATTGCAGATTGAAACTAAGTAATTTAAAAAGCTGAAGAAAATTGCTGTTATTGAACGTACGTTTTTGCTACTTCGTTCTTGACCAAACTGAAGATAGTATTGTATATCTAACATATTCAATGTTTTTGAATAAACTTGATAGACTATATTTCTCGGTGATAAATACAACTCTTTCATCACCAATTAAGGTTAAAAATTAAATAAATCAAATGTAGTGTTGTTCCATTATATTATTTTAATGTTCCTTCGTATATATCTTTGCGCTCTTTACATGTTCGTCTCCTTTCCCCTGAACTGTAATAACTCAAAACTGACGTGTTCGTTTACGAAACGGATATGATACACCATGTGACACACCCAATAATATCAATTGGACTCTGATTTATCTCGATATTGTGTCCGCAGGCGTGCGCGGCAGACACAAAAGAGTTCCATTGCATTTCTGGGCTATCTTTTTTTATCTTTTTTATATACATATGATCTTGTGCACTTGTAAGTGAATACATCATACGGTAAGGAGAATAAAATTATAACTTTATTGATTGTACAATTAATAAATCATTTACACAGTTGTCAGAGGGTTTGGAGAGCCTTCTCTCCCGATGTCATGAAATAATTTCACAACTTGTAAGGTTAAAAAGGAGGAAATTAGGGATTGGACATATTTCAAGAAAATAACTTTATGATAGATGAATAAGCAATTAATGATTATAAATGAATTTGACGTAAACATACCAACCCTATTAAAAAACTCCAATTAAACTAATACTAATCCAAACAAAGTTATATTTTAAACAACAAAACGCTATAACTCTAAAAACACGTATCAATTCATAACCACCGATACCTTGCAGAACTTTAGGAGGGATAATGCCATCCTGACATACACAGTCTGAGCGCACACCGAAGATTTTGTCCGTAATGGGAAGAATGAAGAAACGTGATTGAGATTGATGAATAGAAGCATGAAATGGTACAATGATTTACTAAGGAAATCAGGAGAACTCTGGTTTGGAAATGCACTGCTGTGATCTCATTTTATCAGCGTGAACAGTCTGGAATTCACTGCAGAGTCCCAGACGAAGCTAGTAGCGCCCTAGCTGCCTCGCCAGGGGGTCACCTCTGAACCGAAGCGGGATTCGCTTCCACGATATTTTGCGCGTCTGAAAAACTATCTTTTTCTCCCAACGACCTTCGCCAGAATCCGGCACCGCTGCGGGACAACGGCTAGCCGAGTGCCGAGGATACCAGATGAAACTTTTGGACACTGGGCCGCAATAGCTCTAAAGACATAAATATATACTATCTTGAGCATCATAAAATAGATATATCTGAAATAAATAAATATTTAGAAATTATCTTACCTTACTATGGGTAATTGTGAGGAAATAAATATGTTTTAGAAGATGAATATTAATATTGATAAAATAATGCTGATGTTTATAAACTTCTGAAAATAACCTCAGCAAAATGTGTTAAAAAACTATGTATCTAACCATTTTTTGGAAGAGGGTTGTTGGGAAAGGTTTCATCACGTGGCTATCGATCATGTGGCACAATGAAAGTTAAGTTGAATAATGAACAGAATCCTTGAAGAACGTTAACGAGAAAACGAGACACATTCGTTATTTTACGTTGTTTTGTTATAATTTAAGTATTTAGCACATTGTTTAAAATGTTGAAGAAGACGAAGCAGAAGAAGAAGAAGTAGAACAAGAAGTAGAAGAAGAAGTAGAAGAAGAAGAAGTAGAAGAAGAAGAAGTAGAAGAAGAAGAAGAAGAAGAAGAAGAAGAAATGAAAGAATTTTAATAAATGAAAATTTTACTTCGTCGGCATCACAGCCTTTGACATGGCGTTACCCGGACAGCCAAGAACACTCGCAATACTTTTGTCGCGGAAACCTACGACTTCACTTCAAATGGAATATTTTCTTGAATATTCTAAATTTATGCTGACGGCATATTCCGGCGCACTGTGCCGCTTCTCGCAGCACACGCTCGTGACGGATGAGGGCCGCCGACGAGGTGACAGCGCCGTGGAGGCACGCACAGCGGGGAGGGCGGAACTGCGCACCTGCACGCACAAGTTATTCCGTCTTCAGTATGGATAAAACCTTAGGGAAGTTTTAGAGTCTAGTAGGAAAACGTAATAAGGACACCTTGCTTATTCATTCTAATCGATTACGTAGGTGTGTCTTATTTACTTCAAAATCCCAACGCAATACATGTTGATGTCACATTTTGCTGACAGTATTACATTCTCCATGAAATTATTTTCAATAATACGTTTACTCAATAGTGTGCAAATATCAAAGAAAATATTCGAACTCAGTGTATACATTTCCTCAGCGTAGTTTGTATTTACATCATCGGGTTCTCAGAAAGTTAAGGTATGTGGGCTAGTAGTGCAGGTCATAAAGTATTTTTTAATCGAGCAATAACGTAGTACGTCTGAATTATTTTATCGCAATATTACCTCGGCGTTTTCTTTTTAATTCTGTTATACATTTCATTCACGCTTCCATGTTTTATTCACATTTAATGGACATCTTGTCAGCTTGACGAATGTTTGTGTACTGTCATTGTCTGTGATTTTTTTTGTAACTCGTGTATTTCAGGGTGCTAAATAGTAGACGCTGTAGTAGTTGACGGTATAGTAAAGGTAGTAGAGGCCAAGAAACGAAAATGGAAGTGGGGACTTCTTGACTCCAGGGTGGATACTAGATGGGCACAAGGCATCGCAACCTAGATAATGCATATCGGGAAAAGGAGCGTGGGAAGATAAAATACCAAATTGTGCAGTGAGATACAGTGTACAGCAGGAACAAAATAGATAAGAGTAGGTTATTGGGCTTATTGGCTATTTAGATTGGTTATGGTGGAAGATAAAAGGAGAAGCAATATAATTACAAAATTTGCCATGAGGACTTAGTATTATACTACTTCCAATACAGATACTAAGAAAGATTGTGGAAATAGTTAGTTAGGCTCATATTTAAGATTAGAAGTTTGTGTTAGGATAAAGAAATTTAGTAGGATAACTGTAACTGTGATGAACAGAAGTAGGTAAAGAACTCCGTTAGGATGAAGAATCTGAGAAAAGTTGAAATGTATTAGTGAATGTTTGTCAACTGTGCTCTAGAGGATTTAATGAAATGTTACCAACTCCTAGCACCAGAAGTGACTGATTTGAGGCATGCTCTTCAGATGTCCCTGGATCTATAGGAAGCCTTTGCCCGTAAGGGATTGAATGGGGTAAAATAATAATAGTAATAACAATAATAGAAATAATAATAATAATAATAATAATAATACTTTAAAAAGAATGGACAAGGTTCAGATCAATAAAGATCAATCATTTATGAGGCTTAAAAGAGAAAGAATGTGAATTGGAAGCAGTGATAGTAGATGACAAAAATCAGGCGTTGAGAACACGACATTATTATAAAACCGTTCGCAAATTTCCCAAGATGATATGAGCAGCATTTGCTAGAAACAAGTAGAAACCATTGATTATATCTTCTCAGCTTGTTCAATTCTAG